AATCCAGAAGATTAATACTAAATTTTCAGAAATAGATAAGACATTGAATGGGCAAAGGACCAGAATCGAGTCAATGGAAGACAGAATTAGGGATATTGAAGGCAAATACCTGAACACTTCTTTGGAAAGGGATAAATCAGGAAAAAGATCAAAACAAAATGAAGAAAGCCTAAGGTTCATGTGGGATACCATCAAAAGTAATAACTTATGTGTCATCGGAATTCCACAACAGGAAGAGACAAACAAAACCACATAGAAAATTGTCCAAGATTTGTTGGAACAGAATTTTCCTACTATGATGAAAGATGAGAATATGTCCATTCAGGAAGTCCAACGAACCCCAAACAGGATAGACCCCAAAAGAAAATCACCCAGACATATCATCAAACTTAGCAAAACCAAAGACAAAGAAAGAATCATGAGTGCAGCACAGGAAAAACAAAAAGTTACTTACAAAGGGCAACCAATAAGACTAAGCCCAGATTTCTCAACAGAACCCATGCAGGCGAGAAGACAATGGGCTGGTACATATAAACCCTGAAAGAGAAAAATCTCCAACCAAGAATTATGTACCCAGCAAAACTGTCCCTCAAATATGATGATGGGGAAATTAAGACATTTCCAGATAAGCAGAAATTAAGGGAATTTGGTAAAACTAGACCAAACTTACAAGAGATGCTAAAGGGAGTCCTGTGGACAGAGAAGCAACCACAGCCAACAACCACTGACCATTAACACACATGATGATAAAACCAACCCACAAACCAACCCAGCTTTGGAAGTATCCAAAGTATATAAGCCTACAAGATTGTAAACGGGGAACCAGAGACACCAATTGACAAATGAGGACATCTACAAACCAAAAAGAGAGAAAAAACTGTGTTGTTACAGAACTTCTAGATGGTAGGGAAGTCAAGACAACTATAAGATAGAATGAATTGTTCTAAACTTGGAAAGAAAACTATAAATCACAGGGTAACCTCAAAGAAAAATGATAAACTTTCACATCAAAAAAGAAGACCAGCATAAATATTCAGCAAATACTAAAACAATAGCAGTGAAGGAAGTGATAACACGATTCATAAACAAAATGAGCTCAGCATAGAAAATTATATGGAACAAAGAAACCGACACCACGAAAAAGCACATAACAAAAATAACAGCAACAAATACATATTTGGCATAACTACATATTT